TTCCACACACTGAGGATATTGAGATATAAAAAAACAATATTAAGAAAGGAAGGAGTGAGGATCGGAGTTTTGGTATTTTATGCTAAATTTGAAGCAGGGGACAGAACAAAATAGTAAGAAACCTAAGTACACAAGCTTTCACCTTGTTGATCTGATATTGGATGCTGTTTAAGGCGTGTGTGGAAAGAGGGGAAATCAACTATACTAATCGTGCAACGAGTGTACAAACCGACCATTCCAATATAAATGAAGTTTTCTGTATGATATAATCTAATGAATAAAGGTAAACATCATTCACTATGTTGAATGATACCATACAACTGTATTCCCACAAGTAACTTCTAAGTGGTAAGGCTTGTGCATAGGCGTAAGCCATTAGAATGCTATGATTTTAGTGTCACGCGAATCTCATCAAGGATACTTGAAGTATTTGGTATCTGCTTGGAGGTTCATTCGTCGTTGAATATATTTGTCCCCTCCTTCCCCATTTCTCAAGTATAGACACACCCATGCAAGGCGTGATTTGGATCAATGTGGAAATTGATTATTAACATGACATACGCAGAGGTAGAACTCTTAAAAAAATATCTTCCTTGCTTTTTCTTCCCTCCTCTATCACACAAATGCCTACGTTGCTGATTTCTCTGCTCAGTCTTTTTGTTATGTCATTTGAAATTTTATCCATGCAGGAGAAGTTTATGCCCCTCACTTGCAACATGTAGTAATCTGATGTAGTCATGTGGTTTGATTTTGTATGTATGTGTGTTTTCTCTTTCCGTTATTTAACATATTTCCCTATTCTATTCTCATGCAAAGACAGTTTAGTTGTTCAAGTTTGGAAGGAATACTTGTGTGATATTGTGAGAGAGGAAAGTTTCTGCTACTGTTGCTCTTGAGTCATCTTTGGCCCTTTTATCTTCAAACTCTTCTTTGAAATTATATTTTGAAACCTGACATTTGTGGGTGGGTGTCTTGGGGACATGAAACTTTGCACATTTATGAAGTGAAGCTCTTGCACAATGTAGGCAAAATTTAAACATCTGGCAAGTGTAAAGGTGCTGTTACATTTATCTATTTGCCATAATTAAAGGTGCAGATTAGCTGCCTAATATTTTACTAACTACAATTCGATGCCTAGAGGAATTTCTGCTATAGTATTTTGTGCATGCAGTGCAAGTTTGATGTAATGTCTGAGTTAGAGTTTAGTCAAATCAGATGTTCTATAATTACATTGGAATAAAAGATCATCACCGTAATAACACAAGGGTGAGTAACTCTAAATTGTTTCTTATCCCTAGCAATATGTGCCATTGGAACTACTTGAAAATATATTAAATCAACATCTAAGAGAATGCAACATTAAATATTTGGTTAAGGCTGTTGCTTAAAGTTTCAAATGGTTCAAGCCAAGCTAGTTAGTAGCCCATCTTAGCCTTCACTGGGATCTTAAGGGCTTGTATGATATTTCTTTATTGTGTCGCGGCATAAACTTCTACTCGTTTAGGGTATTTGTCAGATGTCTATTCTTTGTTAATGATGCATTTCAGGATATGTGATGAATGAAATGTCGAGGCCCAGCCTATTTTGCAGACACCAGCCTTCATGACATTTAAAGGAATTATTTTTCTTTATTTGGTGGATTCTAAACTCTTTTGGCAATGAAGCCCAATGTTTGTGTAAGTTTATGTGACTTTGTTTCTTTTATCATTCTGTGAATGGTTCTTTGTGGATCCTTTAGTCTTTGTATTTTTGCATTTCTTGCTTGTGTTCAACTTTGTTGAATTGAAATTACCAATAATGTTCTCAGAGAACTATGCTTCCTCTTGCATAAAATCCATCACTTCAGCAAGCTACTCACCAGCCTCATCCTAGTTCTTCTGACCAGGACAAATGGCGGAACATGGGTTGTTTTAGCAATGGTTCACAAGGCTCTGGAGACAAGCTTAGGATTCCTAAGGTTAAAAGCATTAAAGCTGGTCAGCTCTTCAGCGCTCAAAATTCTGCTTCTGCTATTTCATTTCCTGAGGGTAACTACGTTGATGATCCTTCCAGAAGTCAAAAGGATGGGAAAAATGCTCCACAGTGTGTTTCTCTGCAGCTTCTCTTTGTTTTTTTTTCTATTTTGGTCATTGCCGCTTCTCTTTGTGACAATCCTCATAAAGCTATCCTTGATTACCTTATTTCAGTCAATTTATATATTTGGTGGAAGCATAGAATATGCAGAATTCATTCAACTGGTTCTTTCCAGTGGATTCATTTACCTCTAGATATGTATAGATCGAGACTTAGGACCATTACTTGGTGCAATCTTAAAATTTTGCGGCTGAGAAATGTGAAATTGTCGGTTCGAGAATAAACCCAGCCAGCCACTTTGCAAAAGAATGTAACTTGAGTTTCTCCAAGGCTTGTCCTCCTAGCACCCTGAATTGACAAGGCTACCTTCGAATTCCATTGTTGTTTATATTTCTAACTATACAGGATAGAGTTATTTGATTCTTTTGACTTCTTTGGAACTGCGTTGAGATAAAAAAATTGCCACATGCTTAGCCTCTAAGTTTTTTTGTGTCAGCAATCCGAACTCCTTTGTAATTTGTTCAAATTTTTATGCTTATCAACCTTTTCCAAACCAAAGATGTCTGTGTTGAGGTTCTATTTTTTTTGAAACTTGTGGAAATGAACCATTCCTTATATATACAAGTTTGCACAAATGATATTTATTTAAGAGATTGTTATACTCTTTCTTGAGGCTTGAGGTTTACATATCAGTTTTCTAGAGGATAGAATGGTTTTTCATCTTGCTCAGGAGTCAGGAGTAGTTTATCGTTATACTGTGAATAGGATTACAACATTCTTTTGCATTCTCAACTGAGAAATATTTATTCTATTATGGTTCCCTTATCTCGCATTAGGGTCCTCCCCCCTTCCAACTTGAAAAAAGGACAAAAAATACTTAAAAACTTGTATGGAAAAAGTATGTCATTTTCTTCTGAACTCATATAAGTTTGATTCTTTTGATCAACAGGGTTGTTACCTAGTTTGGTCCTTGTTAAGTGGGGGTGCTGGAATAGGTGGATTGCATATCTAAAATTTGGCACTATTTACATTTGCTGTACTTGGATTAGAACCCCTGATTTCAATGTTATTGGTCCAATATTACTTCCATTGTACCACTACCAGGCAAAAATCCTTGGCTCCAGGCCCTTTGACTTTATAGATACTAAAAATGTCAGATAATATGGAGTATTAGAAAAGAAGGGCAGCTAGTCATTTTTTTTTTCTTTTTTGTAAGCTTAGAGTAACATTGGGCTGCACAATAATGACAAGAGTTTTTGAACCATGTTATTGAATTGTGACTATTGGGTTTGAGACTTCTTGGAATGTAATATTAGCCATTTGGATTCTCAACTTGCTTTTACCTTTCTTTTTGGATAAGTAATAAGGATAAAATGGAGGACGAGACATCATAGTAACAATCATTACAACGACGACAAGCAGAAATACAACAAAACAAATCCAAACAAAACAATAGTATAAGTCACACAATGAAGAAATGAATTTGCTTGTACTTTTCATAAAGGGATTATGAACAAGTGCACCTCTGAATTGACTGGAGTGCAGCCAAGGTTGATGTTGAATCCTTTCGAATTAGTCTACATGTATTTTTTTTTTCTGTGCTGGGGATGCTGCACTTTTAAACACTTATTTAATTTTTTTTGTAACATTCATATATTTCCTTCTCAAGGTAAAATTACAATCGATAAATTACTTTTTCAAGTGCGTATCTTTCTTAATGGAAGCTTTTCTTTTTTTTATTTGCTTGATATAGTTGTTTCCTTTTGATTGGGTACTTGAGGTTATCATCCAATTACCAGGTACAATACACTGATTTTTGAAGCACTTTCAACCATCAAAGATTCAAATGGAACTGATATTGATGCCATTGTTGGCTTTATTGAGGTCAGATAGACATTTATCATGTTCTTCATCTCTTTGTTTACATTTTATGCTAGGTTTCTATGAAGGAGCTATATTAGTAATGAAAAAAAAATTTGGTGGAATGTAATATTTGGTCAGATAGGCACCAATTTGACTGCAGGATTTTTCAGGAGTGTTAAAATAAGGTTTTGGAAGTAATTATGGGATATGCTTCTCAAAACACGTCATAATCTATGACTTTTGCTATGTTGCTAATATTTACTCCTTAACTTTTGTGTTTGTTTTTATTCGTTGTCTTTATACTTCATGCTGTAGAGTTTTCTGGATTTATGTTTCATTTCTTTAAAACATCTCATTGCTGAGAGATCAATTACCACTTTATTAGCCATTTCTCCTTTTCATTGTATATATTTTTTGTCTTCGTTTATTCTTATAACTTAGATCTAAATGTAGGTGGAAATGCATAAACAATGATATGCGTTGATGGACACTTTTTTATGTATAGTAGACATTGTTTGAAAGATTTGGCTAGTTGCTTAAGAATAGAAGTCGCTATAAAGGTCCTCCTACTTTCTTTGATAATACTTATACGCGGAGTAGACAGGGATGGAACTTAAGAGAGGCCTGAGGGGGCCATGGCCCCTCCCATACTTTGCATAACCCCTAGGTAGATTTACAACAGCGTAAAATACACCCAGCTACACTATGCATTGGCTCCCCCACCAAAAGATAAATCTTGCCACTTGAAGTGGTACATGGGTGCAAAGCCAACTAACAATGTAAATTTTATTCTCTTGCTTGATAAAATAATATTTTGTTGCCATTATGAACTTTTTTTTGTTAAATTAGGAAGTCATAAAAGATAAAACAATATTGCATTTCAAAATTCACCAGAAAGCTTAATAAAATATTAAAAGAACTCTTTTACCAATACAATACTCGGTTAGTAAATTTTGATTAAAAAATATTCACTTTCCTAATATGCCTAAATTCCAAACAAAGTAACATACTGAATCCTAATTAGTTTACAAAACAAAAACTAAAGACCTTAAAGGCTTGAACCATTGTAATTTGCAAGCAACAGAGAATGATATAGGTATACACCGTAGACAAAAGCTCTTCAATATATATTATTTTTTGCATTCAAGAAAAAAATTACAGGCGAAGGAAATATAATCAAGTTACTTTTTGTAACCTGATTAACTGGTCATTGTTTTGTTATTGATTATCGATTAATTTTTTTATTCTTGATAAAAAATTTTACGTGGAGAAAGTGTATTACCTGTTTCTTTGTGCAATATACTAAAGCAAAACCTATGATTATTTTTTATTTAATTGTTTATCTCATGTCAGAAAAATTAAATCTAGGATAATATTGTTTTTTATGTAAAATTTAACTAGGTTTGTGTATATAGAAAAAGAATTTGCTAAACAATTTAGCATGGATTCAACATAGATGGATTCTGTGATAAAAAGAATATCGAGTTCCACTTTGATAGGCGTCTCGCAGATATATAATAAAAAACTATTCATTTGGTTCATTTTTGTCGATATCTTAATTTATATTGAATATCATTAATTTGTTTGATTTATTTTTGTAAATTCTAAATTTTGTTAATGGAGTTTGGCCCCCCACAATGATAAAATTTTGGTTCCGTCCCTGATAGTAGACACTATATATCTCTACCCCACCAGAAAAAAAGGAGAGAAGCAGACAACCCTCCCCTTGCACTCCATTTATTTGAAAATATAGAACAACCAAACGTGTATAGAACCAGATGTAACATCTTCAGTGGGATATGAGGTTTTTTTAATTAGTGGGTGGCATGCTTTATAATATCAAGTAACAGATCTTATGGTTCTTACCCAACCAACTACTGGATGCATATGGTTCATATTCCTAATTTTTGTGAAAAGAAGCATTTAAGAGAAATATTTGATGGCATCTGATTAGTTGAAAGATAATACTAGTGAGACTTTTGGTACAAGGTAACTGACGTGGGCGGCATTTTTTTGCTGCGGGGAGGTGAGGGGGAAGGTTTCATTGGGTCTCTCACCTCCAAAGATTCCCCGTGCTATGCATAAATGGCTTCGCAAAATCTCTTTAGATCAACTCTTTACTTATAAAATTTTCATGGCATTTTATTTCTTGGAGTAATGCTGACGGTCTCCTTAATTTTTCACATCTATTGCAGCAAAGGCATGATGTGCCTCAAAATTTCAGAAGGTTATTGAGTTTGAGGCTGAGAAGGCTTGTTTTGCAAGGCAAACTTGAAAAGGTGAATGACTTTCTTGATCCTCAATTGGAAGCATCCGGGGTGATAATCTTCTTTGCATACTGAATTTTACATATATCCATGTAGATCTGTCTATAGTTTCATTAAGTTGTCAAGTCTTTGGTTTGACAATCTCAAGATTAGTTCTTTCGAGTAGATGTTGCCAAACGGGCCCAAACCACACCACAGTGCAGAGTTTATTCTTCGCTATCATCATTATCATTACCTATCACGCTGTTGGTCTTGATGTAACTACACCCAGGTGCTTGCAAATGCTGCCTGCATGACCTCATAATGGTCTGAATTATTTCTTCCTTTTGGTGAAAACGTAATGAACTGTTAATGATTTCTTTATATCAAACAAATTTCCTATTCTACCACGGTATATAATAATTTACCACTTCTAACAGAGAAGCTGACTGGTCTATCCACCCGCTGGTAGGTAGGGCTTATCTATTTGATTTGCTACACTTGCTTTCTTCTTACACATGACAAAGATGGTATAATTATTAAAGCTGTGCATTTAACTTGGAACATAAGTTTCCATCAAAGATGAGAACTATTATTTATACCAGCCATGGGTTTTACGACACTGAAGCCAGCTTTCTTCTTTGATATCATCTGTACTTCATCAATAATTCTATCCAAATGCAGGTTCACAACTGCTACAAGATCAAAGATGCAGAGTTGGGAACAAAAACGCCTACACCAAAACAAAATGATGTCAGGCCAAGGCCATCCCAAAATTCTCGGGTAATCATCGCTAGTGAAACAGTGGAAGATGCTGCAATGACTGCTGCCTACAAGATTGCTGAAGCGGAAAATAAGTCCTTTGTAGCAGCTGAAGCTGTTAAAGAGGCAGAAAGGGTCTCAAGGATGGCTGAAGACACTGAAGCAGTGCTGCAGATAGTGAAAGAGATCTATGAACAATGTAATATATACTAGTTTTAGTTTTTGCTGCTACTTCTGTTAGCTTGACTCATCAGATTCTCTATGGTTTTTTGTCAAACAGGTTCACGAGGTGAAAGTATTCTCTGGGCTTAACTCTATTGTAAGCATGACCAAAGTATTCCTTGTAATTAGTTTTCTCAGTGATGTATATAAGTTCACAGAAAAGAGGGGATAAGCTAATGAGGAATTGGAATGACATTGTAACAGTTGAAATTTTGTGGAAAGATTGAGCTTCGGATTTCAAAAGGATGTGCATACAACCATGCACGGTTGTAGGTGTATGAACAATGAACTGCAAGAACAACTTCCAACAGCAGAGATGATATTTAAATGCAGACTTGACTATACAGGGCAAGCAAGTCAATCCAACACAAAAAATAAAATAAACAAGTAATATGCAAATTTATGAAATTTTGTTGAGTTCTTTTTGTCAAATCTCCCAAGGGCCCTACTTAAACAGAATATGTAAAGTTTAAGAAACCAATTTCACATTAGATAGTAGATAATGAGATAATTCACAATATGTCAACTCATATGGGGGATTTTTTTATTTTTATTTGGGGGGAGGGGGGGGGGGGGGCTGAGGAATGTGAACCACCCCCACCTACAACAGAAATAAATCCTGGTTGTCAACATGATGATGAAAAAATAACAATACAATTCTTGAGCAAATATTCCAACCAGACGGACCATTAATGCGTAAGAACAAAACAATAACTGCCCGCTTGGGACAACCAACAATTGCCAAAACAAGATCAATAAGGGGTAAGTATGATGTTAAAGCAGATGAGAATTGAAAATGAGCAAACTGTATGAGATAACAACCTTCTTCCAGTCTTAACAAAACATGAGAAGTTCAACATTGGCCATGAAACTCAGGCATTGGGAAGTTTGCAATCATGGAATTTGTCTTTCATTACTTAAATACAAATTAAAGTAAAAGTTCTAATCAGGGAAGCTAACAAAACAAAACAGAGCAATTGATGAACCTTGGAAGCGGAAAATTCAGCACACATCACCAAAAATGCTTTTTCAGGTGAGCGACAAACAAATTTCAGAGCTCAAACTACAAGAGCACAAGCCCAAGTTCTGATGATCTTAAGACATGTTTTATTCGGAAGTTGTAGAGGTAGTAGTGGAGTTTCCCATCGCCAGGCCCAAATTTCAGTTCCTTCAAGAAACATTCATTTTGCATTACATCCAACGCATTGAAAACATCATAATCCTTCCGTTTTGCAACAATGAGAGCATCATTCATCAACTGAAGCAATGGAGTTTTTGTGGACACGTTGTAGTAAGAATAAGCAGCCTTCAAAGTCGAGTAATTCTGGTTGCCAAGGATAGTCGAGGGCAATGTGTAAAAACTGCAAAAATCTGTTATCTCATGAGTCTCGGGGCTTTCAACCAGGAAGCTGTCCACCACATTCTCCCTTGGAAGAAGCCAGTGCTCTACATCATTTTCATCAAAGTCAGGTGCAACATCAAACTGCTTCAAGTAATTCCTAAGTAGACGGGTAACTGCTGGAACATCATGGGGTTCCATCTTTCTAAACCCAGGTGTGGCTGTTTGATCTGGTAACTTGTACAGCTTTATTGTCCGGCTCATTGTCATCCTTGCACCAAGCCTAGAAAAGCCGACATCAATAAGCTTCTTTGGATTCAAAGATCTATGCCAATATTGACAAGTTGCTATGGGTGTGGGAAGAACCACCCCGGCAGTATAAGCTGCTTGCCAGATATTCTCTAAGTGGACCCTCCTAGTCACCTCCTTAATCATGACAGGAGCAAGTCTTTTCGATCTAAGCTTCTTATGAACACAAAGAAAATTAATCTCTGCCATGTTGACAACAGTATCCCGAGCCCGGATTCTTGCGGGAACTCCAGTAATAAAAGCAACTAACTTTTTTGAACTCTTTACTCGTACTCCAATATGCCAGCTCCTGTAATAACCTGGAGGTCGAAGCGCCCATTGGAGGAACTCCCTGGAATAGTTAAATCTAAACATGTTCTCATCATCCTCAACATAATTATTGGAGAGGAGGTTATAAACCTCAATGCACATATCTTCTGAGTCCATATCACAGGTAATCCACTCATACAGATTGGGGAGATTATACGGTTCTTGTTTGACTTCTGACAGGGGTGTCGGGGGTTCAATCGGGCCTTCAGGCAAGCTCGTGTCCCCAAGGTCCTTGAACTGCCCAACAGGTTGGGTTTCCCAAAACTTGTGTCTCTTTGACATAGAGAGTGATTCTTGAACCTTTCGTGCTAGTGCATCAATTGAAATTTCACTCTCATTCTCAGAAGGTGAATTTCCATCAGGGCTAGGGTTTTCATTTTCACCCATCGAATTAGAACTGGAATTCTTGTCAGCCATTTTCAACTGATTGAAATTGAGTTACTCTGTATAGCAAGCACAGTATTCACATAAAAAACTCAGAACAAAACAACAACTGTTTGATTCTTGAAACACAAGAAGGAAAAAGAACGCATTCAACTCAAATAGAATCATATTTATAAACCTGTGATTATATAATATATCAGTCTTAGATTTCTCTCTAAGTTGGATCTGCCAAAACCAAAAACTTTATTCATTATGCCCAATACAATTATTTCCTCAAAATGGTAAAAATTACCCACAAAAGATTCTTTCATCGTTCCAATGATTTCATCTTACTGGGATATCTTAACCTTGATTTCTTTCATCGTGGGTGTTTACCAAATTGGCACAGAGGAGAAAACAGAAGGATATATTCAAGAGAGAAATCCATGAAAACAAACAACAGATTTTTTGGGATCTAAACAAATAATAGCACAAAAAAAACAAGAAATTTAACATAGAAAACTGCAAAAATTGAGACCGAATTGAGGGGAATTTACCTGGGGTTTCGACCTAAGGGCGACTTTGGCGAGAATTCGTTGGAGTTGGGCGTTTATGAGAGATCAGAGAGAGGATTTATATGAGAGAGAAAACAAATTGGGGGAAAACTTTGGTAACTACGAAGCTGTGGGTGGAAAGAATCATGGAATTCGTCGACTACCAAGTAATGGGAATACTAATACTATTACTAGTCTAGTGGTATCCAGTAGTAGTGTGGAAATAGCGCAACCTTTTGTTATTTTTAGGGATTTTTTGCACTTTGTACCCCTAAAAGTTGTCTTAATTTCTATTTTGTATTTTGAAAGATTATTTTTTTATATAATACCCTAAGTATCATAAATTAATTCTAATGTGGCCACTGAACTAATATCCGTTTCAGATTTCGTTAAAAATTAATGTATATGTCACTCGTGTAGTGTTCTTAAGCAAAAACGTAAACGTATAATTCATATTCTTAGGTGGCATGTGCATCAATTTTTAACATAATCTGAAATGAATGTTAATTTAAGGGTCACATTAAAATTAATTTACATTTAAGGTACAATGTAAAAAAATATTTTTTAGGGTATAAAATAAAAATTAAGACATCTTTTGGGGTACAAAGTATAAAAATCCCTATTTTAAAGGTGAACTGCACTTTGCAAAAACCCATAAGATTTAAAATTTTTAATTGATACCTTTAAAGATTATATTTTTTATATTGTAGTTTTAATATATTAAAACTATTACAATATACCATTTTTGTTAATTTTCGTTGCTCATTTTATGAAAATATTTCATTGGCATTGACAAAAATGAGCAACAAAAGTTAACGAAAAAATTAAATTATAACACTCTTTTAATGCATTAAAGATATAATATAAAAAATTTAATTTTTAAAGGTATAAATAAAAATTATTAAATTCTTTAGAGTGTAAAATACAATTCACCCTTACTTTTATCACAATGCATTGGTATATTCGTCATTTCCAATCTAAGTTTTAATCTCATTTTTTTCTCCGTTCCTTGGGAGAAAAGACATCTTTGAGGGTTTAAGTAAAAATTATTAAATTTTTTATAGTGCAAAATGTTCTTCACCCTTACTTTTATCACAATACATTGATATATTCGTTAATTCGAATATTACTTTTAACATATTTTTTCTCCTTTGAGAGAAAATATAGTGCTATGTGAACGATCGTCTAATAATGAGATAATAAATAAGAAAATAGATCTCACACAATTAAGAATTACTCAAAAAAAAAATGTAGACTAGTGATATACATTTTATCTATTTTTTTTTATTGAATGATGACTTCACGTGATGGTAATAATAGCGTCACCATTAGATTGAACGTTTACTCCTTCCTCGGGATGATTTATTGTAAAAGAACAATGTTATAGAAACTTAATATGAGAATCTAATTTAATAATTATGAATTAAATGTTAGATAGAATATATTTTTCATCAAATAATTATAATTGATTAAATCTCTAAAGTTCGTCCTCCAATTAAGTCCAAACAACATTTTCCACCATAAAAATGAAAGCTTGGGAGGTTAGTTCTCCCATATGCTGCAACAATTCCTCCCAAAAGGGTTCTCCAAGTATTGATATTTGATTATAGGTAAAAAAATATGGTTTTTCATCTTCCTACCCGATATTTTTTGAAAGAATTTTTTTTGGGCCTATCGTACCCGATCAAATGTGGTATTCTAACCCGACTTCTGGCCAAATTAATCGAGTAAGAAGTTGGGTAGAAAATCGGGTGAATATTTTTGTAATTATTAATTTTTGGATCATTTTAATAATTAAATTAAATAACATGAACAAATTTAATAACACAATAAACCAATAATATTAAAACTTAAAATAATTACAACAATAATGACAATAAAATTAATTTCTACTACCATAAAATTACAATAACAAAATTCACCCTTACTTTTATCACAATGCATTGGTATATTCGTCGTTTCGAATATTACTTTTAACCTCTCTTTTTTCTCGGTTCCTTAGGAGAAAAGACATCTTTGAGGGTACAAGTAAAAATTATTAAATTTTTTATAGTGCAAAATGTTTTTCACCCTTACTTTTATCACAATACATTGATATATTCGTCGATTCGAACATTACTTTTAACATTTTTTTTTCTCCTTTGAGAGAAAATATGGTGTTATATGGTATAATCCTCTAATAATAAGATAATAAATAGGAAAATGGATCTCACACAATTAAGAATTACTCAAAAAAAAATGTAGTGATATACATTTTGTCTATTTAATTTTTTTTATTGAATGATGACATCACGTGATGGTAATATTAGTGTCACCATTAGATTGAACATTTACTCCTTCCTCGGGATGATTTATTGTAAAAGAACAATGTTATAGAAACTTAATTTGAGAATCTAATTTAATAATTATGAATTAAATGTTGGATGAAATATATTTTTCATCCAACAATTATAATTGATTAAGTCTCTAAAGTTCGTCCCCCAATTAAGTCCAAACAACATTTTTCACCATAAAAATGAAAGCTTGGGAGGTTAGTTCTCCCGTATGCTGCAATTCCTCCCAAAAAGGATTCTTCAAGTATTGATATTGATTATTAGGGGTGTTCATCCTATTTTACAGGTAAAAAATATGGTCTTTCGTCTTCTTATCAGATACTTTGCGAATTTGTTTTTCTTGGTCTACCCTACTCGATCAAGTGTGGTATTCTAAACCGATTTCCAGCCAAATTAATGGAGTAGGAAGTCGGGTGAATACTTTTGTAATTATTAATTTTTGGATCATTTTAACAATTAAATTAAATAACATGCACCAATTTAATAACATAATAAACCAATAACACTAAAACTTAAAAACAATTATAACAACACTTACAATAAAACACAAGAAGGCATAAACATCAATTCATCATAATTGTTGCATAAATACAATAACAATTATTTTAAGTTTAAACTATTTGGTTAGAAAGTTAGGTTTTTAAGTTTTTATATATATAAATAAATTAATACGAGTAGGGTAGAGTAAGGTAAAAATACGAAAATTAATGATTATTTCGTATTCCTACCCGATTTTTTCGGCTAGCCATTCAATAAAGTCAGGTAAGATAGAAAATTACGATTAATTAAAAATTTGAACACCCTTAATGATTACTAAGTTGGAATCATTGTGAACTTGAAAAGTTAACAATCTTGAGTTTTCTTCCCCAAATCAGAATACCACGAGAGGTAATAGATATAAGTTGGAAATTTAGATATCTTAAATAAAAATTTTGACAATTTTTTGAGGATTAGACTATGAGAGATTTAACCCTAAAAAATATTTTAGTTCTGACATGAATTATTGGCCTATGACCAAACTAGGGAGGGAATTAACTTTCATACCAAACTAAATAAAGTTGGGTTCGAACTCTCTCGTTTTAACATATTGTCCATTTTTATTATTTGGATTATATTTCATAAAATTCTTCATGTCCTTGTCATAGTGTTACTATGATATTCGATGGGTCTCTGTAAAACTTAATTAAGTTTAAAAACTTTGAAACTAGGAGCATCCAAATCCAAATCCAAATTGACCACTTCGTATTCAACATCTTCTTCCTTTTTTTCTAGTCCATTGAACTTGTAATGCTCAATGCTTTGGCATCTCAACTTTAATGTAGAAGAGTGGATATTAAATTCATACCTATTCTAATATTAGAATAGGGGATTGGTTCTTTTAGCCTTTTAGGTCTGTTGGTACAATTTAATATCATACATGTACATGAATGTTATCTAATATATATATATTCATTATTTTCAATACATGAATTAATTGTATACATGAACTCTAAAATATTCCAAGAGCCTATGATCTCTAAAATATGCATTTGAGGTTTTGAAAATAACAACCATCCTACACTTAAACAATATCACACACACTTGAGAGTTAAGACCAAAGAAAGGTGTTCTTATTGGTGGAGTTTTAGACATAACTACTTCTACAGATTTGGTTAGAATCATAAGATGAAACTGTCGGGCTGTTGTATCTTAGAGGAGACAAATTAAATGAGAAGGTTTGTTGTATCGCATTAGAGTTTTTCCATTTGCAAAGAACTTGAATTTCCTTAAAGAGAGCAAGATACCCGCGCCTTAACCTGAATTGTTTTGTATCAAAATTTTATTATCTTGTACTTTGTTTCTCAATTTATTATAATTACACAAACAAGGTCCATTTTGGACTTTAAAGTTTTGAGATACGTTGCTCATGTCTACTAATTTTGATAGTGGTGTAAGACCAATTTTAAATGAATCGTAGTCTGGGACATTTTGATTCAACTCTTGATGATAACTTTCGAGTCTAATTGATATTCATATTTATAATAAGCATCTAATTGTAGTTATCTATCTAAAGTTTATGCACTAATGGATTCAATACGATCCTAATTAATTTGGAGAGTTTCACATCATGAAGAAAAAGATAGCACTACCACATGAATAGAGAAGCAATTGGAAAGCCAATAAGACCAATTTACCCCTAATATGTCTCAACCTTGACAAAACCAAACCTTGTGCCAATCATTATCCAAAATAGACTTGTTGTCAAACGATATATGTCTCAATTTCAATTTAGTCATTTCGTCTAGATTCATTAGTTTTTTTCGACATACAAACGTCACAGGATATATACCTATAAGTATATTTGTTTAACAAAAAAATATTTCTCTCAAATATATCTATATTTCTTTCTTTGCAGCACAATATCTCTCAAATTCTTACACCATATCTATTTTTTCTCTCTCAAAATTAGATGAAATAAAGTAAGAATTCCTTTCAAACGCCTAAAAAATACCCAAAACATGTATTGGTCATAAAAGACCATTCCGTTATAATAAATTAGTGAATTTTTTACGATAGGATTAAATTTAATCTCTAAAATAATTTAATTTTTACAATTGAAACTTCAACAAACAAATATAAATTAAGTATATACTTTAAGAATAAAAGTTATATTTAACTTTTTATTTTTTGTTGAATTGGTATATGTATAATGCATCTATCGTCTATTCCTGGCACTTAAAAGGCAAAATCAGATGTCAAAACATTAGGAAAGTAAATATCACATAATTCAATAATTATTTCATCTAAGATCATTTAATAACCACCTCATGTGGATATCTAGGGTCTATCGGTTATTGTTTTTTTAAATTTAATTAATTAATATAATTTACCGCAGCAGTTGGATTAACAAGAAGTCCCAAGGATGAGATCAACTACCAAGTCAACAATTATTAGAACAATCACTTATATCAATATATTATAATTTTATAATATTATTTAATTACAATTAAATAATAATACTATGACCACTATAAGAAAATCTTTTTTCTACCCAAAACTGATATTTGAGTCCGCTTTATAAGTTCCAAACGAGCTAAACTCGAATAGTTTAATTATTTTATATTACATATAAGCGAATTCAATTTTACAAGTTCGAGTTAAACCTTAAAAAAAATTATTTTTCTAAACAATCTTAAAAATTAGCTTAAGCTCGGTTGGCCCATTTAAAAAACAAGTTGAGTTTGAGTCGAGTCTTATAATGGTAGAATCCAAGTCAAATTTGAATAACTTGACTCAATTATCAACCCTAAGTATGCTATAAATAACAAAAACAAAACCGAGCCGCCATAAATGTAATTAAGAAAACTAGCTAGGGGCAAATATGGAAATTAGGTAAAAGGAAGGAGGGCAAGATCACTCCTAGTTCCAATATAATGAAAGCTTCTCCCCCTTTCCCCCATCCTCTTTTCCAGCAAAACACATTCAACTCCACGGCGCAGATCCGAGGAGTTGGGAAAACCCTAGACAGAGCTCTCTCTTCAGCATCAACCAACCTCTTCACCGATTTCTCTCGAATCCAATCTCAAAGTACGTCCTCTGTTCTCTTCCTCTACAATCGATCTGTAAGAGATTTAGTTTTATACTTCCTTGTATGTTTTCATCTATGTATTCGGGGAGAATTTCATACACTTGTGCTAGAATTGATCTGTTTGTTCTTTTACGTGATTCAAGATTCTAGTTTTTATTAACCTTCTGTTTGGTTGCTAAGAAAACTGTTCCAAAAGGGAAAAAAAAACGAGACTTTTATGTTGTTTTTTGCTCTCGGAAATCGAAAGAGAGACAGTTTCAGCCGAATATTTATTTTTATTGCCCTTTATCTATTGCGTGAGTCTTGATGGGGGAGAAGGCAAAGGGGCTTCTGATTTTTGGAGGATGTATGTCCTAGTTATCAGATAGCCACCTTTCATTTAAGAAAATCTTCCCCATATACTTAGACAGAAGTTTAATGCTTGTACTCCGTGTTGTATGGCTTGCAAGTTTGGCTCTTCTGTTAAATTTTACTCTTAATAAAGAAGATGTCTGTGTTTTGGGTGGCCTTGAATGGTTTATTAGCTTAGGAATAGATCATATGATTGGACCATCTCCCCTGCTTTGCGGTGGGTTGTTTTGTCTGTTGGGCAGGGAGGTGTGGAAACTCGGTCGTTCTGATATTATGTGGAATCTGATATTATGTGGAATGCTCGCTATAATTTTTTTTCAAAGATGTTCTTTTTCCTGTGATCCAAATAAGGTTTGGATGATTCAGTGTTGAAGCACCAGTCTTTGGTCTAATCTCAGGATCTTAAGTTGAGTACTGTTCTTTATATGTGATTGCATTCTGGCTGCAGTCATGGCAGGTGTGGCACCAGAGGGATCACAATTTGATGCTCGTCAATATGACGCTAAAATGAATGACTTGTAAGCTTCTTATTCATATGACTGACTAACTGTTTATTTTCTTAAGAAATGTATGTGTATATACTTGGTTAGACTGGACGCTAATACTTACAGCTGGAGCTGGTTTAATGAATTGATTGGTGCAGAATTGCAGCTGATGGACAAGATTTCTTCACATCATATGACGAGGTTCATGAGAGTTTTGATGCTATGGGATTGCTAGAGAACCTCCTTAGGGGCATCTATGCTTATGGTATGTATTCTGATGATGTTGTTCCCTTCTCAAAGATGTGAATCCAAATTTTATTGTTTGTTTTGCCAGTTACTTGGACAATTTAAGGCGTGTTTGACCACCCATTGTAGAATTGTTATAGAGTTGATGTTTTAATCATTGCAAAAAACTTATAGTTTTAGAACCTTACCTCATAAAAGTTGTATGTTTAACAAATTTCTTAGTTTAGCAATATGCGGCTTATGAAGTATAAATCTTTTTTGTCATTCAACTAAAACTATTGCTACATTTTGCTTTGTTATAAACTTTTATATTTAATTTTTAGGTTTTGAGAAGCCGTCTGCAATCCAGCAAAAGGGAATTGTTCCATTTTGCAAGGGCCTTGATGTTATTCAGCAAGCCCAGTCTGGTACTGGGAAAACAGCTACTTTCTGCTCTGGAGTCTTGCAACAGCTCGATTATGGTTTGGTCCAATGTCAGGCCTTGGTTTTGGCACCCACCCGAGAACTTGCCCAACAGATTGAGAAGGTAATGCGAGCTCTTGGTGACTATCTGGGTGTGAAGGTTCATGCTTGTGTAGGTGGAACTAGTGTTCGTGAGGATCAACGCATTCTTCAAGCTGGTGTTCACGTAGTAGTTGGCACCCCTGGTCGTGTGTTTGACATGCTGCGAAGGCAGTCACTTCGACCTGATTATATTAAGATGTTTGTATTGGATGAGGCAGATGAAATGCTTTCACGAGGTTTTAAGGATCAGGTACTTACTTTTTATCCATTTTCTTTGATATTTAGATTGTGTGTGTGGTTGATTTTGATGTGTGTGAACATGTACATGTAAATGTATACATATGCATGCATGTTTGTGCGTACAAGTTGTGGATAAGGACACTATCACATTGGTCTGCTTTTGTAAGATGAACGCCTTTCTGTCACAAATCACGTGTTCGTTAAATGTGGTCAAAGAAGAAACCAATTAAGCTGAAGTAACTTTCTTTGTGCTAGTTTGTATGTGCGTGGTTTTTGACTTTTCATTTTTTTCGTGGTTGTGGGTGGGCTCTTGCATCTGCAGGGGTTTTTTTTTTTGGTTCATTTTATCTATCTGAAAACTAACCATTTGTACTATTGCGGCTCAAGCCAATTTGAGGTCTAAAATAGAAACATTAAATGAAAGTCTTTTTATTTTTAGTATTAATTTTTTTTAAAAATTAATATATTTTTAATTTTTTATGTGAGCTGGAGATAAAAGAAGGATGTGTTAATATTGTTGAGAAATAGATTTCAACTTTTTTTTTTGTTTAATTTCAACTTTTATTTTTGTTTTTTATTTTTTATTTTTTTTACGAGAAAGAGAGAGAGAGAGAGAGAGTAAATATGAGTTGACTTTTGAGTATTTTTTTAATTTTTAAGTTTTTAATGTTATGGATTGGATTATAAGCTCAAATTATTGCAATCAAAATTTTGATTGGATTTAATTTTTTGGGGCTTTTTTGTAGGGCTTAAAATTTAATGGATTTAATTTTTTTTGTGGGTTAGGGATGTACCAAAAATTATGGGGCCTAATGCCATGCTTTTTTTCCATGCTGTTGGGCCGACCCTGCATTTGTATAGGATTTGCAGTGCATGTACATTGTGCAGGATTATCTTTTTTTTGGATTTATTGTTGCACTTGCAGTTTTCTGGTAGTTCATTTTTTCCTTCTCTCTATTATCTTATGTGAAAGGGTGTACAAATGGATTAAATTTCTGGCATATGGAACTCTGATTTGAGAATGGATTTCAAGTATGTTAGGCAGTTACTTTTTCACTTGATATGGTTATTGCTCGTTGAAATTATATTTGTATCTTAAATTTTTTGTTTTTCCCTTTGCTTATTCAAATTGTTCCCAGTAAGTCTGTGTTTGATCCGTTTTTATGGAGTTTTGAGAGCTCTGTGGGGATTCAATGGATTATGTTTTGATATGGGTTATTTTGCTGTCAGATCTATGACATATTCCAGCTGCTGCCTTCTAAAGTTCAAGTGGGGGTCTTTTCTGCCACAATGCCACCTGAAGCCCTCGAGATCACTAGGAAGTTTATGAATAAGCCAGTGAGGATTTTGGTGAAACGTGATGAGCTAACTCTTGAGGGTATCAAGCAATTTTATGTCAATGTGGAAAAGGAAGATTGGAAGCTTGAAACACTCTGCGATCTCTATGAGACCCTGGCTATCACCCAGAGTGTCATTTTTGTTAACACGCGGCGCAAGGTTGACTGGCTTACTGACAAAATGCGAAGCCGCGACCACACAGTTTCAGCCACCCATGGAGACATGGATCAGAATACTCGGGATATAATCATGCGTGAATTCCGCTCTGGCTCCTCTCGTGTTCTGATCACCACTGATCTTTTGGCTCGTGGAATCGATGTCCAGCAGGTATCTCTTGTCATAAACTATGATCTTCCAACTCAGCCCGAAAATTATCTCCATCGAATTGGACGAAGTGGGCGGTTTGGAAGAAAAGGAGTTGCCATAAATTTTGTGACTAAGGAAGATGAGAGAATGCTGTTCGACATTCAGAAGTTCTATAATGTCGTCGTTGAAGAACTGCCATCCAATGTTGCGGATCTCCTCTGAAGAGGTTTTTATGAGTTTATGGAGGTAAGGTTAAGGGGCTTTCCATCTCTTAAACACTAGTTAATCATGTATTGGTTCTCTGCCTAGTTTCATAATTTATTGTCTCAAAGCAGATCTGACCTAATGATATGGGTCCTGCATCTTTTGCAATCTGGTGGGTTAGTGTCAAGTCTACCATTTCAGGTGGTGGTTGCATACAGCATTGCAAATTTTGTTGCAGGTGGGGTTTTGTATCGTCTTGTCTCGTCTTTTCTTTTACTTTTAGTTAAAAATTTTGGTTAATTGCCCGAAGGTTTGTAGTTTGGATTGATTTATTTAAATGTTAAGTTTTTTGAATTCTCAGCAATGGGTAATACATTATAAATGGGATGATGTGTTATTCTTGTTAGTGATGACTAGATCTGTTCTTTAACTTTTCAGCCTCCTACATATCTTTTTGGTGCATTCATTGGCAGCTAAAACTGTGGTTTATTCTTACCGTTACCATGAACAAATTTTCAATTGGCATTGCTTGTTTTTGTACTCGTTTTGGGGGCAATGATGACTCTGGATCCGGATTCGTAATGCTGTCGAGAAAAATATTAGTCAAACATGGAATATATTGATTCCGGGTTTGTTTTACCCAATCCAGGAGAGATATCCCACGAGCCAAACGGTCGCTTTTGTTTTGCTGTGAATGATTTGGAGTGCTTTACCCGAAGCCAACGAATCCAATAAATAGGACAAGCTGCACATCACTGTATATCTCAAAGTTAGGCCCCAACAATTTGTCATGCTACAACTTATTCTTTTTTTTCTAATTTCTAGCGATGTGCCAAAATTTAGTCAGTTGTACTCGAGCTTAAGGTTGATAATTAAATTGAGTTATTCGAGTTGGGTTCAGGTTTAACTTGTTTTGAGCTTATTTAGACTTGAACTTGAACAGTTTTTGTGACTCGTTTAAAAATCTGTCTCAGCTAAGGTGCAGATGTATAATTGTCATTTACAAGCCAATTTTTGATAAATTTGTTTACAGACCACCTCTCTCTCTTATTTCAAAAACTACCGAGTTACTCTCGCTAAATGTTTACGCAAGTTCAATTAACTTTTTTTTTTCCTGATCTAAACTCTTTAAATAAAATTTAGTATACACATAATTACTCTTTTTTCTTGTGGCAATAATGATAAAGTGGTCAATCTGTCTCTCTCCCTCATCATTCATCAGCAAGGCTCCTCATATGAAGTCTTATCTTCTTAATGATGTATGTTTTTAGGATAATGTAAATGCTTATTAAATTTTTTTATCAAACTTTCATTTCAAATGATGACGACACCGTTTTTCACCATCAGATAAGTAGATTATATTAATATTTAACTAGATTACATTAATATTTAACGATGAAAATTGTGCCAACTCGTTTGAATGGAATGAAAGATTTGATAATTTTTTTTGATAAATATTACATTTTCCATTTTTTTTGTGGGTTGACTGTACTGTATTCCTTCACCTAACAAAGAATGAATTACTACTAATCTGCCGGATATTTTTAATGCAAAACTGAGGAATGCCGAGAGCTTGAGGAGGGGTGTTCAAATTTTTGATTGGTCGTAAATTTTTACCCTAGTCAACTCTCCCCTACCTTATTGAACAGCTAGTCGCAAAAATTTGGTAGGAATGCGAAATATCCATCAATTTTCGTATTCTTATCCTATTCTACCAGTAAAAAATATATTTAATTTTTTATATTTTTTTTAGTAATTGTAAGAGTATTTGTGTAGTATAATTTATATTATAACATTGTTATTGTTGTAGATGTTTGAATTGCGAAAATATAAACTTTTTTTTTGTGTAGGTTACATGATTTGTGGTGAACTATTGGAGCAGTTATGATTTTAATGTGTTTTATATGGTTTAAACTTAAAATAATTATTTGTATTTGTGTAACAATTATGATGGATTGATGTTCATGCTTTCTTATGTTTTATTGTAATTGTTGTTGTAGTTGTTTTAAATTTTAGTGTTATTGTATTATTAAATTGGTGCATGTTATTTAATTGAATTGTTAAAATAATTCAAAAATTAATAACTACAAAAGTGTTTATCCGATTATTCGGGTAAAAAATTGAGTAGGCTAAGAAAAAAAAATTCTTTTCTACAAAGCATGAATTACTACTACTAATCTTCATACTTTACAAAAGTAGTATACACAGGACACCTCTGTGAAAATAATTGAGAAGCCGACCTTTGGTGGGACTGATTCAGTTGTGATCCGGGTCCCACCTACGAGAAGTGAGTAATAAAATTCAACGGTCTTGATGTTGTCACAGAATTGTTTGCACATTTATACAGGTCATTGTGCCTCACCCACCCAATGCCAGATTTGGTCAAAAACTCCAGCCTAATACTCTCTATTTGCCGGTCAACTTTGTTGTCTACCCATTACCCATACGCCTTTGTTATTTGTCATATTTGCCAACTAGTAATAGATGTGACATATTGGGGTGTTAAAAAATCATTCAACGTAGGAGTATTTAACAATAAAGAACTGGATTAATTAAGATCAATCCAAATCAATCTTAGTATATTAAATTCTATTGACTGCTAATTTTACCCACTTTTTGTATGCCACAAAACAATGGATTTCTCTAAACTAAATATACCTCAAAAAACAGATAGTATTTTGCATGAAAGCTGTTTGAAATTTGAACCTTCAAATCTCATCCTTACCATTGGTCTTTGTGACTTTTAAGTGTTACCCCACTTCAAAAGTTGTTACCCCACATCCTACCATCGGTCATTGTTGTACCTGAAGGTCTTAAAGTTGGCTACAGACAGAGAGAGACTTGCACACAAGGTATTCGGCCATATTCCCCTGTGGCATCTAACGTTTCACTTCCCTCTTTAAGCGTGCCAGCTACCCATCATTGGGCTATTCACACTTAAGCAGCTTCATCATGATGCAACTTGGGTGGGTGAAAAATAGAAAATACGTCCACCCAAGAAAAGTCAGCACTCCATTAAAGAGAAAAGAACATTTGGGATAAAGATTAAAGCCACTACCTTCAGCTCTTAACAAGCAATCAAAGTAACTCAAAAATAATACTGCACCCTGAAGCAGACCCATTCCACTCTCTCCCTTTTCTCTGCCTGTGAGAGTGTGTGAACTTTTTCATGGAGAATTTTAGATCTATGTCCACTAGAGAAGGTAGGATGCAGATGGAGAGCTATCATGGAGACGGATCAAATCCAACCAATATGCATGATCTGAGAAGTTACAGTACTTCTTATGTTTCATCTGTGCAGCCACCTCATATGGGTAAGGAGGTGATCAAGATCAAAAAAGGCAAGAGCAGTGTTGGACCTGCTTTAAAAAGTTGGAGTTTCAATGATCCTGAGTTGCAGAGAAAGAAGAGAGTTGTTGGGTACAAGGTCTATGGAGTGGAGGGTAAGATGAAGGGTTCTCTAAGGAAGAGCTTCAGGTGGATCAAGGACACTTTCAATGGATTGTGGTGATTTTTGGGTATTGCTGTTTCTTCAAAGAATTCTTTAATTCAAAATGTTTTTGTGATCAAAAAGATCATGGGATATGATGTATGTTTCTCTATGTCAATCGATCTATAATTATGGTATACTTATTATAATCGGATCATATAGGTTGTGGTCTTTCATAATTGAAATTGTGGCTTTGTTCTTCTTTAAGTTATTGGTTAGCTTTCCTACATTAAATTAAATCTACTTGTGAGTTTTGAAATGTATAAGCCAGTTTGGTCCTTGACAAGGGCTGCTGCTTTGGGGGTAATTTTGTATGGTTTTGAAGTCCATAATAAAGAGATTTAGGTGATAAATCTAGTAAATTAAATTAATGGTCAAATTTGATGCTTTTGTGATCATTTATCTTGTGAACATAGTTTGTTCTTTGTAGTGTTTGAAATTCATGAGGCCATCCTCTCCAATGTTTTTCTTAGGCAACCGTCCTGTATTCTTGTGCACATTCAAGAAATTGATTTTGCAATGTGATGGTAGACGTAACATCTGGGGATACTCTTAATATTATTGTGTTTGTTCTTTACCCCAACCATTTGCTTATCTTACCAAACAGATTATTGAAAACCTTCTGACTCAACACACAATGATTTATAATGTAAAATTTTGTGTTGATCAACCTTCTGAACAGTGATATGCTCACCCAACAAAGAATGATTTATTCTGTAAAATTTGTGTTGATCAACCTTCTGAACTGTGATGCTGTAAATGGTGTTGAGGAAGGCTGAAACATAGTATTATTGTCTGAGCTGATTCAACTTTATCTTTTGATAGAAGCAGTGGACAATTACGATTAGTGAATACTGAATACTATTACAGGCTCCTCACTGCCTCTGTAGGTGTTCTATGCTGAGAGTGTGTAATCTCACCCAACACAGAATGATTTATAATGTAAAATTTTGTGTTGATCAGGCTTTGTGAACTGTGATGCTGTAAATGACGTTGTGGAAGGCCGAAACATAGTATTACTCTCTGAGGTGATTCAACTTTACCTTTTGATAGAAGCAGTGAGCATTTTATCATTAGCGAATGCTGTTCCATGCTCCTCACTGACCTCTGTAGGTGTTTGTTCTAAGCTGAGAAGCCTGAGCTTGTGTCATTGTGATCTCTCGATTTTGCAAGTGTAAAACACCTTTTTAGGTTCCTTTTTTCCCTTAGCAGAATATATATCTCCATGAGCACACCTTCTATAGTTCAAATCTAATATAGAAATAGGGAGCCATTCACTTTCTGTATTTTGACAAAGTATTTCAACTTCATGAGACGGATTTTCATTAATCTAGGTCGTACCCAATGTATCGATCATCATACTCATGTCTCCTTCAACATTAACTGCATTGTTGGTACACCTCTCCCCTCCTGCGGTTACTTGGCTTTTGGTGCACATGAAACAACACAACAAAGCCAAATGGCTTCTACTGCAGTTGCTGCATTGCTTCTATTAGGTGGTGAATCGGGTTGAGAGTGAAAGTTGCCAAAATCTAGCAGAATGCTCTCGAAACTAATTCACTTGAGTGAGAGAGAGAGAGTAGAATTCCATGTGTAGGCATGAAATAAGGAGATCTCCAAAGGAAGGCCAAAAGCGAAGGCAGCTCTCTAGGTTCCTACTGATGCTTGGGTGCGAAAGCATGCGGAGCAACAGCAAACACAGTTAAATATCCTGATAGTTCATATTGTAAACAATGAGTGTTCGCCCTCGGCGTACAAGGGTTGGGTCCAATTAACACGTGAAACAATCCGTTTGAGGAGTATGGTCGCAAGACCAAAATTCATAGGAAATGATGGGCAACATGTGGTTTAATTCAATAGAATACACAAACCTTACCCAGCATTTTTTTTCTTTGAACTGAACCTTACCCACCATTGTGATATACAAACAACAAAATCTGTCCTTAACGGGGTGGTACTGACTTTCAAAAAGGTTTCCAGGATTTTGACGTTTTTGTTTGGAAAAAAATTGAAGGTGCAGTAGAAAGGAGTTGGTTTCGACAGCTTGGGGGCTGGCTTGCAAGGCCAATCACCTTACGGGCCATGGTCCAGCTTAGTCCAATTCATTACAGCCTATCAGCCCAATATATAGGCCCAGCCCATCTTGTGAATGGTAACTTGCCATCCTTCCTTTGGACAGGATGGACTGCCCCACCCAACTGACATTGACTTACGGCTCGCGTGAGCCTGGCCCGGACCCAATGCCAACCCTTACTAGCTGCTTTTCTAAACCAATGAGAATTAACAAGTACATTATCAAATACTTTTTAGCTAGGTGTTAATTGAACCTTGAACTCAAATGTTATAAAATTATCTTTTAAACGAATTTTAATTTTTTTAAACTCGACGCGTTTAGAACTTAAGTCGAACTTGAGCGCGAATAACTCAACTATTTACATATAAATAAAAGGAGATTTGCGAGCATGAACCGAGCCTTCAAAACAAGTCTAAAAATTTGTTTAAACTTAACTCATTTAGAACACGAATCAAACTCAAGCTGAATTTTATTTAAATCGAGCTCGAATAACTTGTCTCGATTAACCCCTCTACCCTTAGGGATGGTGCCATTGGTCAAACCTGCTTTCTTCAAAAAACAAAGATCACAGGTTTGATATCCTACATCCCCTAAGATACAACTACC